AAACAAAAAAAAAAAAATGGACGCGGAGGAAAATAAAAGAATATTATTTTAAATAGTAATTGATGGGACTAAAATTTTGGACAAAAATATAGGCACATTTTTTAATTACTTTTACAATGTTTTATGTTAAATCTTTAAATTTGAAACTTTGACCCTTAAAATTATAAGAATATTTGGTTTTATTGTTCAAAGTACAAGTTAAAAATTATTACTAAGATAGATAATAAATATTAATTTTAATATTATGAGATTTATTTTTATTTAATAATTTAAAATTATATAATTTAATCCAATACAAGTTACAAAATAAGAATTATTAAAAAGAAATATTTTATTTAATAGGTTAAATTGTATTTTTTAAATTTCAAAATACATTTTTAAATTTTCAAACTAAAATAAAAAATAAAAAAGTAAGTGAAGAAATGAATGGACGTGGCTTATGCGAGATAAGGGGTAGCAATGAGTGCTTACCGGATTCCAAAGTCCATCGTGGGCTAGGATCTGCGACAAAAAAAGGGCAAAATGATAAGGATAGAAAGTTTTCCCCTTTTTTGTTTTCTTATTTGATGTGGAGAATGAATTTGATTTAATGCAATCAGCAATATTGTAATTATAATTTTATATATAATTATAAATTTATAATTACATTATAATATTTAATGAATATATGATAATATTAAAAAAAATAAATATATATAATATTATAAATAGATCAACGATTTGTTAGTCAGAGAAAAAGTAAATTAGTTTCTCTTAAATAAAATTTTGAATTTAACTCTTATAAATGTAGAAATGAGCATTTGAAGAGCTTTTTTATGAGATCCGATGTGAGTTAATTTTAAATTAATTAAAATCTAATATGACTTCCTAATATCAAAAGATTAATACTAAAAAATTTATGGATAGATTCTTAAATAAAAAAATTATATAACAATATTTTATACCGTAAAGTTATAATATCACATACTAATTTAATTATAGTATTTTTTAAAAAACAATTCAATTGGATTAGAATTGCTATAATCTTTTTATTTTTTTTATCAATAATGTTATAGTTATAATAATACATAAAATTATAAATTTATAATTAGAACATGACTTTAAACTCATATAACATAATATTAAAAAAGTGGATGTATATAATATTATAGGTAGATCTTGAATAAAAATAATTAATTATATAACAATATATTATATTATAAAATTATAAAATTATATAATATTATAATTATAATATTTTTTATTAATTAAATAAAAGAAAAAAATATAATTTTTGATAATGACTTCATTGGAGACCTAGGTCACTTTACAAGAGAGAAGAAAGAATATTCTTTCAGGTGAGAGTTCTCTTTGTCGCACAAGTAAGGAGAATTAACAAGTTTATTATTCTTGATTTTATTTTGCAAGATCACTGCCAAGAAGATAATAAAGAATCAAAATTTTCTTAAGCTAACACTTGAAAGATTTTGATATTTTGTTTATCCATAAGGTGTAGGTCTTAATTATCGTTAGAGGAGTTCTATCTTTAGACCTTAAGTTTGGTGCAAAAGTTGCAAATTAAAACTATACTTCAACTAAGCAAATTTCAAGCTTCAGCTCAGGTGACGGAGATTCTTGTCATCCCTTTGTCTAGGGAGTTTTGTATGGAAGACACATTTGGAAGGCCACCACACGTGGTCTTTTTCTGTGTTTGTTTGGTTGCTTCTTCTGTGTAATCGAGTTATGAAAGGCTGTGTTAGATATGAAAGACATTTTGCTGAGTCTCCTTTTTCTCCGAGGTTTGCCTCTGCCGGAAACTCCTATTCATCTGCTCTGTGTTAGATATGAAAGACATTTTGCTGAGTCTCCTTTTTCTCTGAGGTGTGCCTCTGCCGGAAACTCCTATTCATCTGCACTAACATTGTTTTTTACGCTAGGCAAGTGTGGGAGTTGGTGCTGCGATCAGATGACAGTTTCTACCAATTGGATTTTGCGCAATGGATCAACACAAATGTTAGAAAGGAACAGCATGCGTTTTTGCATGGGATCTTAGACTTAAGGCTTCTCTGTTCATATTGATTGTACTTCAGTTTCTATTGCTGAGTCATGGGGATGCAGGGCGAGACTGCTTCAACGCAAAGAGCTGGGTATCCCTTAGTTAATTGTGGAATTGGATTCGCAGACTGCAATATGAGCTATATATGCTTTGGAGTCGATTTTGATCATCAGGGTTCAGTTTTAATGTCAGATATCCGTGAGCTTTGCATTGATTTTTCCCGGTTACCGTCCAGCACACTCTTCTTGAGAGAGACTCGACTGCTGGTTTCATAGCGTCGATTGGCCACAGTCTACCTGTAGGGGCAACTATCTTCGAAAGCCCACCCGTGGGTCTGGATGATATACTGTTAGAAGATTGTATGAGCGTTCCTTGCTTGTGCCAGAAAGGTTAATTTATTGAGTTTTTCTGACATATAACTTAATAATACAAACTAAAATTGATCAACAACCTGTTGGTTAAAGTAAAAGAAACTTAATTTCTAAGAAAACTTCTCCTTATGAGATCCGACATTACTCAATTTTGAATTAATCGAAATTCAATGTGATTACAAGATACCAAGAAATCAATATAAAAAAAAATACAAGTTAAAATTATAAGTTAAAAATGTAATAAATATATATATTTTAACAAAAAATTAAAATAAAAAAATTAAAATTAACTTTTAATTTATTAATTATCTAATTAAATTTATTCACTTAATTTCTACACTAAAATTAATGTCAACTTTTATATTTTTTAATATAAATTTGTGATAAAAAAAAAATCTTAAATTTGTATCTTAAAAGCTTAGGTTAAAAAATTCTTACTTATTTAGACTCCAGTCCAGTGCCGCAAACCAATAAAAAATTTTTAAAAAGTATTGTGCTGAGTAAATACAGAATAATCTTAAGAGTTTCCATTAGGGAGAAACTTAAACACAGCAGATTACAGTACGTAAATAACAGGAAATCAGATAATAAACCAACCCCAGGTAGGTAAGTATATCTTGTCTTCAGTAACCAAACCTCTCATGCAGTCACAGTTTTTGTTTTGCGAATCCAAAAAATGGCGAGCAACAAAGCGAATTGAAATTTTTTTATAAGTATATAAAATGACTAAATGTCACACAGTTTGGACTCGTCTTATTTCCAAATGGGAAAAAAAAAAAAAATCATCTTCATAGTGGCAATTCTATGGCTTGGGTATCTTACCCCACAATACAAAATCTACACAGCCCTTTTAACACCATACACCTAATTTTGTGCCTCTTAGATTAGTTGCAAATCTTCTTTCAAGCTAATTCTTCTCTCAAGCTAATTCTTCTCTCAAGCTAATTCTTCTCCAATGTCAAACCCTTTAAACTACTTACAGGATCATCTTATTTTTCAATCTCTGGAAAAAGCACTCATGCGGCAGAGTACAGAAAGAAAGATCAAAATTTTTAATAATACTTCAACTATGAGAGTACTAACCATGTTTGTCTTGACAATTATGGAGAATGCCCTGAAGTTTAACAGCCAAACCCAAGAGATATTTCTGATCATGATATGGATAACCTCAGAAAAATCATGATATTGTCCAGTACTTTACATGAGATTTCCTTCACAAATAAACCGAGTTCAACCTGCAGCCTGATAAATAATAGAGTTTTCATCTGTTTCTTCAAAAAACATACCAGACAAGAAGTGATGCTCATAATTAGCAACTATGAGAGCAGATAAAAGTTTTCACCCTCTTGACCTGGCATTTCATGTTTTTGAAAAGTTACTTGTTTACATCTTCAAAATTATGTTGAAAAAAAAAAACAAAAAAACTTAATACAAAACAACTGAGACAAATCAACCAAAATGTAAGACGTACCTCATTACTCTCTCAACTTCTCCCAGAACCATGTGGTCACTTTCCCTGAACTATCCGGTAATTAAGAACCAGGTCCTCAGGTTTCTTCCATATGTAAGCTCGCACAGTGGCTAAGCTCATATCTGGGGATAAGACCTGTAAAATGTGAACAGCTTAGAAGTCAAGGACACAGTTAGGAGCCTATTGACAAGAGCATGTTCAGGGTCGTAGCATGCTTAAATTGATGACTGTGAAAAGGCTGTTTGTGGCAAAGAATGCAAGTTTGTGATGCAAGGAATAAGCTCACACAACAAAGAAAACTATTTAGTTCACTAAATTTCAGAATAGAAAATTTATGTTGCAAATGTAAGAGGTAGTAAGTTAAACCCCAACTATGAAATGGAAATAATAGAGAAATGAAAAATAAAGGGGAAAAGAAAAAATAAATAAATAAATAAATAAATAAACACCTCAACTCAGTAAGTAACTATATTACTGCATTGTGTTGAATATGTCAAATACCTCAAATCCAAGGTTTGCAACAAAAAATCTAGATTAAGGTCTCTTTAGTAAATGGCATTTGAAACATCCAAGAAAGGATTTCACTTGCCTGATTATTGCACAAAATCTCAATAGAAGGGCGAAGCTTTTGCCAAGGTTTCAATCCAGACCGAAAAGATAAATCACCTACTGCTGAGTGCTGCAATTGCCCTCCATGTCCAGGAGCAAAAGTTCCATCGGTATTTACATTATCCGATGATTTATCAAGAACCATCTTTTCTAAAACATAATTGACAACCTACATTACCATACCATAGCCAATCAGTGCTAACTTGATTCAACAGTAGTCTCTATTACATTTGAGACTCTATCATGGGTTTCCCAAAATAAAACTTAAGTTAATAGACCTGAAAAATTGAAAACAGTTCTTGAAGGAGTCTTTGGTATTTGCAAAAGCTATCAATACTACAGTAGAAAGCCCAATAAATGCATAACACAGCAAGGCATGGATATTCCTTGAGCAATAATAACAATAACCATACAAAATCACAACTGGCAAGTCAAAATTAAGGAAAATATATTCCATAATACATAACAGAAATCAAAGAAGAATTTAGCCCATTGCTGAAATCATTAAGGTCTAAAAGAGTAGGAATTAAATGAGATGAACCATTAAAAAGGCATTTGATGAATCCATACTAACTTTTGAGATCATAAGAACATATTCTAGCTCACTGCAAAATAGACAATGTACTTCAATTGTTTTCTAGGCTACAACCAATTTGCAGGCCATAAGTCTGCCTTTAAGAAAAGATTTTATAAGGAAAAATAAGGTTGCATGCTCATCAAATATTAGCAAAGACTTTCTATCTTGTAAAAAATAAGCTATCAAAAAAAATTTGCCATAGCATACTACCATGAGAAACCAAACAGACTTACTTTATGTATTCTTAATATACGAGGTGCACTTAATTTCCCTTGCGTGAGCATCTGGGTTGTAGAACCTTCACATGGATGCAGGTAGAAGCTGCACCTGCAAAATAAACAAATAAATAAATACAGCAAAACTCCACTAAGATAGAGGGAAAAGAAGAGGTAAGAACCCTACTAATAGCCATAAATGAGCAAGATAAACTAATACTCATTATAGACATTTTCTTACCAGGCAAATGAAAAAAAATAAAAGAAAAATTAATAGAAACCACAAGAATAGCTTCTTTAAAATGTATGCAAAAGACAACAAAGAAAATTGAACTGTAACCATTGCCAAATAGCACAGCACAACTCTGATGGTTGCTACTGAATTCTTGATAGTGGAATAATTAGCTTGAGTTAGCTTTTATGCTGAAAAAAGGAAGGCATAAAGATAAAGTTAAAACTTATGCTGAAAGGGGAAGGCATAACACCCATAAATATTATGACATCCATTAGAGAGATTATAATATCCCTTCTAGCAATGCAGATGGCCTCTCTAACTGCCTTGTTCTGAAATAAATGCAAAAATATAACCAAGGCAAATAGTGTCTGCAACTAACTTCATATTTAACAAAATGTTAGTAATGCTTTAAAGAAAGACAGCAATTTCCAAGTATTTAATCCCTGGGAAGCACACATGTTCAACAAATATGTTAACAAACATACATGATACATGTTGGCCATAAGAAAAGGGGAGAAAAAAAAACAGTATAACCAAACTTCCTCAGTATGGTGACTATAAGGAGAAAGTTGCAGCAAGGTAGATGACTTACTTGGTGTTTTCTCTGGGAGGCAGGCGATTATTCAATACACAATCTAGAACCCACAAAGGGAAGTCCTTCTCATCTTCGGTTCCATCTAATTCAGTAATTTTCTTTCTCCAAGGACCTCCTTGAGAACCCTCAGTAATGATTGAGGGAGGAGAAACTGTTGAGAACTCAAAAGGAGGATAGACCATGGAATCATTTTCCACAATACCATCTACCTCAGATCTTGAATGGGTAAGGTTTCTCATTGTAATATCTCTCCCAGATAACGCATCTCCATTAGATGAAGCTTGGGATCCAGGTCTCTGCCTTCTTTTGGTCAACCAATGAGCCAACAGACCTTTAAGGGTTTCACGTGCTAGATTAACCTGCTCATCACAAGTTAAAAAATAATCACCAAAAAAGGAAAACAAAAATGTTCTAAAAAAAGAATGACAGGCTTTCAATCAACAATTAAAACATGAAGGCTGATTGGAAGAATCATTTTGAGCTAATTGCTACAGAGGAGTCTAGTTACATATCCAAGATGAAAACCTCTTAGAAGTTTCAGCATAGTAAACACGTTTCTAGATCCCCTGCAATGTCAAAACATTGAACCTAAAACCCAAAATGATTGGCCAAAATCCTCTATTTCTAGCATGGAATCCAGTATTTGAAGCTGATTTCTTCTAAATGGATTTAAATATTCCAGAAAATGAAAAGAGAAGGAAGAAAGTTCGGAAGCAACAACAAAAATTACTACCTTATCATCCTCAGGTTTGCCAGTGATATTAAGATCCACTGAATACATCTCTGCTGAGAAGCATTGTGGTGTGTCCAAATGAATGGACAAGCTTCCAAGCCTGGTATCTACGGTGAACCATGCAGGAATGCTTACCTATAGCAGTCAAAAAGATGAAAAGAAATCAATAGTGAAATCCCTGAAAAATTTTAAAATAGAATTACATTTATGATTGAACAAAAAGTAATTATACCATCTCAAACAACTGCTCCTTTTTCTCCTCAAATGAAACCTGGAAATTTTTCAAAATTTTGAAGAATGAAAGATTACATGAGGATCTACTTTCATGTGCACAGAATTATGGACCAAAAAATTTATTTATCAATTCTAGTCAGTAGGAGGAAGAGGAGGGGGAGGATAAAATATATTGCCTACCTTTCCATAGTCCTCAACTACAATACCTCTGGTTATCTCCCAGAGCTTCACTGAACCAGCAGTGTCCTGCTAGATGGACTAAACATTAGTTTTCCAAAATGCAATTTCCCAAAACAAGACTAGAATACAAGTCATCCCACATTTACCTTAGTTAGGACATGCCTTCTATTATTTAAAATTTCATGCTGCACTATTGCTGGGGTTCCAGGAATGGTAAAGGTCGGTACTCTATAGGCAGGGACCTACAAATGATCCAAGTAGTTAATTTGAATGATTAAGGAAATAAACATATATCCATACTTAGTGACAAAATGTAAGAGTAGCAGGAAACGGAAGAGAGATTGATATTTCAATAAATTACAGATCCGTGTAAAACATCAGGAAAAAACTATAATTAAATGTGTCACAACATGAAATTTCAAATATTAAATTAATCTAATTTTTCTTCTTTTGCCATTTTTCAATATTTATCAATATGAAAAAAAAGACAGGAGTAAACTGACATTCTATCATCTCACACATTAAAAAACAAAGAAAGAAAAAGAAAGAAAATGCTATCATCTCAGATCAGTGCATAGAGATATGGACTTATGGTAGTTATAATACACTCACTGGAGTAGATCCTTCTAAGGAAACCCTTGCCCTCGCAAAAGACAGGTTCCCAGCCAAGAATGTACCACCTCTCTGAAAGACCTTCTGCGGATTGCATCCTCCTGCAGGCCATCTATGAATTAAAGAATCTGTTGTCGCAACCCATATACTATCATCATGCAGTGCCAACTGCAAAATGGGATGTTCTTTCATGCAAAGCAAAACACTCTCCCTTGTTCCCAAATCTGTCAAGTATAACTGATTGGATGCACAAAAATAAGCATTAAAACATGAAATCTAAACAGCAAAAGTTTGAGAAACAAGACACATATAGAACAGGTTTCAAAGATCAAGAGAATGTACTCACAGAAAGATCTCTACCACCACTATAAACATGACTAAATGTGGGGGTACTAGCAAGTGCCCAAACAGAATCTGTATGTACAGCATAGGAATGTACACATCGTTGTTGACCAAGGTCCCATAGTCTAAAAAAATAAATTCATGATCAGCTAAAGTTTTGAAAATGACTCAATGGTTATTTAAAAGAAATATATTATGTATAAAAATATACACCTGATCATAGAATCAGAGGAACCTGACAAGCAAAGCCTGCAGTTATGAATTACAGAAACTAGTCAAAAACTCACTAGTGCAACAAATATGAATGATTAGGCATCCATTGAGAATGATAGAATTTAGTACTGACTGGTCAAACAGTGAATCAACCAGATTTGATAACTAATACATTTTAGCCAAAAATAGCTTAGAATTAGATTAGATGGTACCTTCTAACCTAAATTCTGTTATTCTGGATCCTGGCTCAGAGGTTCTAAGTTCTGCAATAGTTATACACTTTAACTTTTCTCAGAAACAAATATTAAAAACTAACTTTTTTTTTTTTTTTGTACCAGGATATCACTCATTTAAATTCCAATTTAAAGACATCACTGCAGTTAAAAAGCTGAAAACTAAATATGAACAGATCTATGTATAATGCCATGATAAGGTTTAGTGTATGTGATGCCCCGATTGCTAGTGGTATATAAGTGTAAAGACAAACCACTACTAGCAACTTGAGCTTTTGAGGGCTCATGGATCTTGGCTTGAAGAGTCATTAGGACAGTGACCAGTTTCTGGGGTCGTTTCAGTGTATAAACTCCTATGATTTGCCCAAAAAAATTTGACATTGGACCATGGACAATATTATCAGTCTGAAATAAAAACTTTTCCCACTTCTACACAAAATAGAAAGCAAAAATGGGAGAGGGAAATGGCTTTCTGCCCCCTTATGCCTCTCCCTCAATATAGTTAAGGCATTGTTGACTTTAGTTCTGAATTCTATCAATATTCAACATAACTGTATCAAGAGAATTTTGAAAGAGCACAACATCACCAGAAATTGATCTAGGCAAGCCATCTCATGTGATGCTAGAGAATAATATCAGTGAAAACAGTAAAAAGTTGAGAAAATTTAAGAGTTGGATTCTATACAAGGTCCCTTGCATTGCCAAACAATTATAAATCTTTTAGTAGAGTTAACAAGTATTCATAAAGCTGACTAAAACTAAACTAAATGAGAGATTCTATTATTTGACATGTAGAAAGATGCACCTAGTCTTTGATCAAAGCAAGTAAAAAAAAAAGATTAAAATTTGAATCTTGATAGGTTAGTAAGAAAATATCATTAGCCAAATCCATCCAACCAACCTTCCAGTAGAATCTAGAAGCAAAGCCCTAATATTATCTGTGTGCCCTCTTAGCTTCATATTCTTTGATCCAGTCCTTGGGTCCCAAACTCTCACGACCTGGATGAAATCAGGGCAAAATACTAAAGGGTCAAAACCATCAAATGATTAAAAAAAAAAAGAGAGCGAGAAATGGTAATGAAATAATTAAAAAAAATTACCTTCTCAGTCCCACCAGAAACAAGAAGAGTTCCACTATCATTCATTGCCAGAGCATAAACTGACTCTTTATGGCCTTTGGCAGCAATGGGAATATATCCATGAGATTGAGTTGAATGTGAAGATATGCTGTTACTCGAGCTGATTGTCCGCAAGCTTATCATAGGTAATGAATTTGCAGAACCATTGACACCATTTGAACAATCATCTTCCATGCCATCACCCGACTTCGAGAGTGGAGTAACTGCAGCTTCAATATCCCATATGAAAACCTCCCCACCAAGGCCACCAGAGGCAACAATATTGCTCTAAAATGCATGACACTAAAAATCAATCAGAAAATGAAAAAAAATAATCTGACAACATAGCTTCAAAAATAGTTTCTGATTTCAAATTTAACAAAAAAACTCAAATAACTCAACTGAAGTGACAAGGACCTTTCATCCAAGAAGTTAATTAGATCAGAGAAAAGGTTAACATAGAACTTACATTTTTTTCTGCTGCAGCTAGACAGGTAACATAGTCAGAGTGTTGACGCAGAGTCCTGGTACAAGTTCCCTCTGACAGGCAATTCCATGTCTGATGTACGTCAGAAAAAAAAGAAGAAGTGAATATGAGTAAATAATTAATAAAACATTCAATAGGACAACAGCCAAAACAATAGAGCACAAATTATTCTATAAACCTTCAAAGTTGTGTCTGATGAACAGGAAACAAGTGTATTATCACCAGCCAGAATGGCATCATTTACCTGCACAACAAAGCACAAAAGCAGGGTCATTTGCTTTCTACTCAATGTTAACTTATGCACCTTACAAACTAAAAGCAGGGAATAGAACTTTCAATATATTAGAATTTAGAATTAACTATTTATGTAAACCAGCATTTGATTGATCTTCACATGGCAGAATATAGATGCCTTGGATAAAATGGAATTACCCAATCAACATGTGACTCAAATGTAGCTGAGCAAGAAGCCGCATTTTCACCAAGTGCCCATCTCTTAAGTGTGCCATCACGGCTCCCAGTGAAGAGATAGTCACACAAATCAGATGACTTTAACACTTTCAAACAATTTATTCCAGCACAATGCTGCAAAACACAATCAAAACTCAGTCTAGAACTCCAAAATACTGATAGAGTCATCAAAAGAGTACAATCCTTAAATAGAACTTGCCCTTCGAGAAAGTGGAGCATAGGATTGCAAAGCAAACCCTCCAGATAAACAAATAACATGAATAACATGATAATATTGGCAAATGATGACAAAGAAATTCTTATCACTATACACCAGAACATAAACCCCATTGAGTAACTTCCCAGAATCGGTGCTTCAAGGATCATAAAACACGAACTACAAAAAAAAAAAAAAAAAAAGAGTACAAAGAAGTAAAAAATACAAGCATAACATCACTCTACCTTTGTGTCATCAGCATCGCTTAACACATATGTAAGCCTCTTCTCTTTACGAGGACGGTTTGAATTGGCATTGTTACCTGCACTGCCTACACGGTGCATTGCAATGACCCTTGAACATATAAGCTCTAATAATCAGTAGATATTAAAACTAAAAAAATGCTAGGTTATTAATGGTTTCATGTAGTACAAGAACTGAGTAAAATAGAAATGAAAATTTACCAGAATGCATATGACCAGCCCAATTTTAAACTTTAAAAGATAATTTCCGTTGACATAAAGATGAAATTAGAAACAATCTGGAACCTTAATTTGAAACGAATTCATAGGATTTAAAAAGAAAATGCAATTTCCAGATAAAAAATACACAATGAAACACGACTCTCGTTTGCATCTAGAAAGTCTACTCAAGTAATAAGCAAGTAAAAAACTTGTATAATCATTCTATTTCTCAGTAATTTGAATGATTGAAACCTTAAAAATGGTTAAAAAAAAAAAAAAAAAGAACAAGAAAGCAGCACATCGAGTTCCGTTAAAACCTAAATGAATGATGCAGGTAGAAGAAACGATCGCGTAAGGGAAAGAAATTCGGAGGACGTCGAGGGATCGGGAGAAATCGCAGTGAACGTGAGGAGTGAAGGAGGAGGAGGATGAAGAAGAAGAAATGGATTGTATGAACTTACCGGAACTCGGAGGAGAATCGCCGGATGAAAGCTCAATAAGAGGAATCGGCGAGGGGACAAGGGAAACCCTAGAGGAGTTGCTGTTGAGATGAACTGTGTTGGAAGGGAAGACAAGGACGGAGAGAGATTTGGGGAACAGAAATCATAAACAGACTCCTAAAACCTGAACGAGAGAATGAAGGTCAAAAGAACAGGAGAAAGAAAACTCATCGCCCATGAACAAAACAAAAAAAACGACGTCGTACAAGGGTGTAGTCCTTCCATTTTCTTAAATTTGCTACTCATGAGAAAATGTATAATTAAATACATTAACTTTACA